CCCTGCTCACTGTGCATGACAAACTGTGTGTGGGCCAGGTGTAACATGAGGTGGTATAGGCACTGTTCTTGTTTCTAGAGGGAAAAAGCGTTTGCCCAGCTAGGGTGTTTCTCTCAAGGAACTGCCACCTATTCCACAATTCAGATATCACAAACAGCAATTATTAACTAAACCCTCTTGTCCTAGTTACCTAGTACCACTCTGACAGGAATATACCACAAATGGGATGGCTTGAGCAAACAGGAATTTATTCTTACAATTTGGAGGCTTTAAGTCCAAGTTCAAAGTGCCAGGCTCCAGGGGCTGGGTGAAAGCCCCTCAGCCTTGGGGTTCAGCTCTGTCTCCTGCTCCTGGCCCACTGGAGCTAGAGGCTTTCCTTCATTCAGACAGCTGCTAGCTGCTAGCTGCTGAGAATGACAAACCCAAGGTTGACAAGTAAAAAAGGCACAGTCCTGATGTTACCAAACAATATGGCAGGCCATTAAAGTCCATCGAAAGTTCCAAGGTCGGCAGAGCATGGAAGGCTGCTGAACAACAAACACGGCTACATGCAGGATTCAAGAGTGCCATAAGCTGGAGACCATTCCCAAAGCTGCTTCTTATATACGGGAAGCAGACCACATCCTTAAGGCAGCTACTCAGCTGCTTGTGGTAGATCCCATCATGGAGTTGATTGCCAGTCTCATCATGGGGAATAACTACCACCAGCTGCCCAGCCACTCAACCAGACCCAACCAAGTTGACATATAACTTTAACTACCATACCTCTAAAGCAGAAATGATACATTGTAGCAATATGCCCATGCTGATGAGCTATAACTTTCTAAGATTACCACAAGAGGCTATAGCACCCCACTCCACCCCACCCCTGATTTCAAGCTAATGGTACAAGACTGGAGAGGATTACCCTCCCCCAAATTTCTCTATCAGCATTTTCTGCTCACTGTTGTTGTTGTTGTTTTGCCGTCGAGTCGGCCCCGACTCATAGTGACCCCTCCTTGGGTTTCCGAGGCAGTATCACTACGGAAGTAGGATTGCCCAACCTTCCTTCTGAGGAGTGGCTGGTGGGTTTGAACCTCCCTCCAGCTGTCTGGTTAGCAGGCAAGTGTCTTAGCCACTATGCTACCAGAGCTCCCTTCTGCTCACTAGGTGAACCAAAAGGTAAAATGTGGTTGCTCACCTGAATGGTCTTCATGGGCAAGGGGCAACAAAAGTCAGGGATCTTCATTAGAAACATCAGCACTATGGTCAGCATGGTTGCAGTCAGACCCAACTCACCCCTCTAGGCAGTTATACAGAATTCCCTTTATAGATAGCACAGTCCTCATTGTCCATCTAAAGCCAGGGCTATGAGGCTTCAAGATGAGCCATCAGAAAGCTTCTGACCGGTTGTCCTTGAGTTTTGGACAGGAACCCTCTGAATGACATGGTTACTTCCTTATACCAGTTAGCAGCAGCTATACTATGATGTCTCGTCTCCTTTTGCCTTGGCTGTCAGCAAACTAATGGTACCCTGGTTTTCTGATATATAATAAGCTCTTTTACTTCATTACCTATAGTTTGTAATTTATACCCTTATTTTAATGGTCCTAGTGCATGGGTATAAGGAACTCTAGTAGCAATGGTTAAGTGCTTAGCTAAAACTAAAAGCTTGGTGGTTCAAACCCACCAGCTGCTCCACTGCAGAAAGATAAGGCAGTCTGCTTTCATAAATATTACAGTCTTGAAAACCCTCTGGGGCAGTTCTACCCTGTCCTATAGGCTCTCTATCAGTTGGAAAATCAACTTGATGACATCAGGTTTGTTTTTGGTTTAGTGCATGGGTTTACTATGTAAGTGATCTCCAATCATTTTAAGTATAGAATAGAAATCATATAAAAAAAAAAGTAAGACTAGTTTCCTAATCTATTAAGTAAAAGCTAAGTAATACCTACTTCATAGTACTAATTAGCATAATTTTGCACACATAACACATTATTTTGCACATAGTAGGTGCAAAGTAAATGACGGATATGATTTGACTTATATATCATTACTCACTGCCATCGAGTTGATTCTGACTCATAGTGACCTCATTGGGTTTCCAAGGCTGTAAAACTTTATGAAAGTAGATTGCTTTATCTTCTTCCTGAGGAGAAGATGGTGGGTTTGAGCCACTGAACTTCTGGTTACTAGTCAAATGCCTTATCCACTTAAAGTATTAATGAGTGGTGCAGGTCCACTGAGTTTACCATCCCATCCTTTTGTAACTCACACATGCTTTAAGGGCAGTGGAGTTAAACTGCTTCATTCCATTCCAAAAATATAGAAGTCTTCATGTGTCCTATTTGTGAAGTAGCTTGGGTACTGGCTACACAAAGGCAGGTTTGAAAAGGTCTTGCCTTTTCAAACACTTGGCACAGCCATGACCTGCTTAGAGTTCCTGAGGAACAAGAGGGGCCTCAGATGGCTTCATTCTGCTTCCCAACACTTTAGAATAATCAGAGACAATAGACTTCCCAGTAAGACCATAATCACTCAACTAGAAGGAGGGCAAAATGCTAACAGGATTTATTGGCTTTGATTAACAATAAAGTATTTGTTTTTGTAGGCAATTAGAGTTCAGTAGCAGACTATAAAGCACTCTCCAAGAAATTCTAAGCAGACTGTAGCTAAAGGGTACTAAAATATGACTGAATCTAACCATTCTTTGTAGACCTCCTGTGCTAAGAAGTCAGTGTTTGATCCAGCACAATCAAACAGGTCATTAGGGTAAAAATGGACCTCTCATGTTCTGAAGGTCCAAGGCCAAAAGGCTTCTGAGCAGCATGTGTGCAAACATTACTTGGAGTATGCAGTGCTGAATGCTGCATGGAGTACTGTAGCTCATATCAATGTAGTCCATATAATCTGATTTAAATTTTCCATTCAAAGGTCAACAACCACCTGGACATAAGCAAATATTTTGACAGCTCTGCATTTTCACAACCTCCAGGGAGTTAATTCTTAGGTGCTATGAAGGGCCAAGGTGTACCAATAGGCATTTGGCTGTAACCAAAAGGTCAGTGGTTGGAACCCATCAGCTGTTCCATGTTAGAAAGATGGGGCAGTCTGCTTCCATAAAGATTTATAGCCTTGGAAACCCAACGGGGGTTGCTATGAGTTGGAAGCAACCCGATGGCAGTGAGTAGTAGCATAAAGAGCCACTGGAAGAAAGGCCTGAAGATCTACCTCCATAACATCAGCCACTGAAAACTCTATGTAGCACAGTTCTTCTCTGACACATGTGGAGTCACCATGAGTTGGAGCTGACTCAATGGTAGCTAGCTTTTTGCTTTGTTTTTATGATGTTTTTAATGGAGGGCCAGGTGAATCATACAATAGTGCGAAGATTAAACAGTGATGTAATGATGTTTGCCAAAGCCATTTTGATTTACACTTTTTCTTTTTCTTTGTCTCCTGGAACTACTCTTGGATACAGGTTTTAACAACTCAGAGATATTAATTCAAATTTGATTATATGTAATTTTTAAAAAATATATTTTCTAGTAGTGTGGGCAAAATAGTATTGTCACCAATATTTGAAAAATACTGTCAAGGTGAAATAACCATGTAATTACAGACAACTGCTCATCTTGCTTCTCTACGCCCTGGGTCAATAACATGCAATTTCCTCTTTAATTCCAGGAAATACTCACAATGTTATTTCCACTCTGTACCTATATCATGATATCTGACACATACAAAAAAGCCAACTGCTGAACGCTTCCTCGGGAATGGAATAAATGAAAATGGAACCAGAAAAAGGAAGACAAAAATAAAATCACAGAATGGCTGATACTAGAGGAAAACAACTGATTTTGTATTTCAACCTTGATACCTTTCACGTTACTCTAGCATAAGCTAGGGTTAGGGTCCCAGGCATCTTACTAACTGTTTAGTTATTAGAAAATCTTTACAATATTTTTTTGTAAGAACTGGATTTCCAGGTGATTATATTCCACTCAGTCCAATATAAAATTTCCCATTGTTTGATATTCCCTGGCCTCCTCAGTTTGAAATCTTTCTATTTTTCTATCCTTTTTTTTTTTTGTAGTTTTCAAACAATTACATTACAATTTTTCCTTTGAAGAATATATTCAGAGAAACATAAAACAGACACCCACTCCAGGAGAAAAAGTTAACCTTTCAGAGTCAGCTGCCTTTCTGCCACCTGGGACTTCCCATACGTAATCTCAGTGCCCAGCCTCTCTGACCCTCTATTTCCTCATCTAAAATTGAGAAGGTTGGCTCAGATTCTAAGGCATCTTTGCACACTAAGGTTCTATGGTTATTTCATCAGGGAATTCAGAGGAAATTTTCCACGTACAGAGGAAAATAAAAAAAAAAAAAACTCACTCCTGTCAAGTCGGATCTGACTCATAGTGACCCCTCCTTGGGTTTCCAAGGCAGTATTCTCTGAGGAAGTACATTGCTCAGTCTTCCTTCTGAGGAGTGGCTGGTTGGTTTGAACCACCAGCCTTCTGGTTAGCAGTCAAATGTCTTAGGCACTATGCCACCAGAGCTCCTACATACAAAGGCAGAATGCACAAAGGCAGTTTTTATTAATTTTTTAAACTAATACCTTGGAATTCTGCATTCATAAAGTTGGACTTTGTTGGAAACTAGCTGAAAAGGAAGTAGTGAATAGTATTAAGATAAATTCATTATTTGAATGATGCACATAGAATGAATCAAAGATCATGCTGATCAAGGGACAGAAGCATAACAAAATAAGTCACTTTGAGAACAGCCTCTTCCTTATACTGGGTTGGCTTTAAGAACAGATGAGAACATCAAATTAACATTTTTTCCCTCAGAGCCTGTTTGTGCTATGATCTCTTGGCTCTTAGCTTACTGGCCTCAGTCCTTATTGTGAAAGGAGCAAAGGTATCATTTCAGAACTTAAAAGATTCGAGTCAAAAAACAGCTATTCAGACAGAAGTTTAAAGAGTCAAAATAGCACAGAGGAGGATACTTACTTGTGGCCCAGCTCATGAGCGATGGTAAAGGCCAAATTGAGACCATTGTCTTCAGCAAGCACACATTTCCTCTTAGCACTGCACACACCTCCTAAGTAAGCAATTCCTGCAGAGGAGACACAAAACATATCTTCTTTAGAACATAAAAGGCCCTGCCCTCACCAGCAACTCTGTAAGGTCAACATCATGCCCATCAAGAAAGGGTACACTGGGACAAAGCTGATCACAGGGTAATCTTACCACTCATATGGGATTGTTTGTATGGGACTTCATCTAAAAAAACAAAAATAAAAACAAAAACTCCACTGCCATGAAGTCAATTCTGATTCATAGCAACCATATAGGGCAGAGCAGAACTGTACCATGAGGCTTTTAAGGCTGTAAATCTTTATAGAAGCAGACTGCTTCATCTTTCTCCTGAGAAACAGCTGGTAGGTTCAAACAGCCAACCTGTCTTTTTCAGTTAGCAGCTGAATTGCACCACCACCAGAGCTCCTTTAGGTTTCATAGTCATCTAATAATAACCATCACCACCATAAAAATCTACAAGCATTTAATAAGTGTCACACACTGTTTTGAATAGGTGACACATATTAAATAATTTAAACCTCATTACTTATGATGGCCACCACCATCTGTCTGTCATACTGTTGTGGCCTGCATGTTGCTATGATGCTGGAAGCTATGTTGCTATTTCAATACTAGCACGGCCACCCATAGTTGGCAGGTTTCAGGAGGGTTTCTAGATTAAGATAGACTAGGAATAAAGGCCTGGTGATCTACTTCTGAAAATTAGCCAATGAAAATCCACATGGATCACAATAGATATACTGCTGGAAGATGAGCACCCTAGATTGGAAGGCACTCAAAGTTTGCGGTGGCTGTAACAACTCAAGCATATGAATGATCACGAGGATGACACAGGACCAAGTAATATTTTGCTCTGTTGTACATGAGGTCACCATGAGTCAGAGCTAACTCTACAGCAGCTATCTCTCTACTCATGATGGAGGTAACAGAAAGTTCAGAGAGGAAAAGTTACTTTCCTGAGGTCATCTAGCTGGGCCCAAAAATGCTGGGATCCTAAACCAGATCTGTCCATCTTCAGGACCCAGAATCAGACTAGGGTGAAGCAAGCAAAGCACCATGTGCAAAATGTAAGGAGGTGTAAGCCTGGCCTCGCATGACATTTACAATGAGCACCTCCTTAAATTTTGCACATGGGATATCTCACTTGCCTGACCCTACCCCTAGATTTGGATGCGCTCACAAAGCGGGCCATGCAAGATTACACAGAAGGTTCAGAAACATGTTCTAGGCACCCTTGAGAAAGCGAGACCAGGGCCCAAGAGGATAAAGAGAATGAACAAGGATGAGCCCCACAGACCAATGTGCTTGTCTCCTGAGATGGAAAAGTCGGGCCAGCCCCTAGCAAGAGGGACACAGTGGCAAGGGTGTGGTGTGAACAAGCACTGAGCACAGATAAGGGAGGCTGTCAGGTGGGTGAGTGGAGGGCCAGACTCTGAAGGACAGATGTGGTCATCCAGGCCAGAAACGCAGTTCCGGGGAGAGGAATGTATGTGAACAAAATGAAATCTGAAGTGCCAGGAGTGTCTGAGGCATGGGGAGGTGTCAGCTGTGGCAAGGTTGGGAGGGGAGCTACACTCCAGCTGCACTGCTCAAGGCTTAAGCCTCACAGGTTCCACATTACCCAACGCATCTATCCACATGTCCTTTTAGCTTCCATTGTCCTTGTACCTATATCTGCACATTACAGATTGAATTATCCTCACCCCTGACACTTGTGAACATCTTTTGCAGAAATAGGGTCTTTAAAGATGGAACAGGGCAAGTTGTGAACTCATCCAAAGGGTATCGTATAAAACAGAACAGACGCAAAATGAGGCAGAAAACACCCATGTGAAGATGGAGGCAGATGCAGCTAAAAGCCCAGGGACACCCGGGGCTATGGAAGCTGGGAGAGAGTAGGAAAAGTAGTCCCTTAGAGCTGGCAAAGAGAACATGGCTCTGCTGACACTCTGAATTCAGACTTCTAGCCTCCAAGGCTGTGAGAATACATTTATGCTCTTTGAAGCCCCCCACTTTGTGGCATTTTATCATTGCAGCCCTAGAAAACAGCTACCTGTGAGCCCAGGCACCTCTAGTGTTTATCTAGACTCCCCCTCCCAGGGTTTAGCTAGACCTGGTCTCTGGGCAGTCCCAGTGAGTGCTGAGAGGGCTGCCAGGTGGTCACATGTTCAGCCGACCCAGAATTTGCACTTGGGTGAGAACTGGGACTCTTTTCCCCCCCTTGCATTGCAGAGAGTCTGATCTCTGAGAGCAACCTCTACAGACCCCTATGAATGATCTGTTGCCATGAGAGGCTCTGAAGACACACTTGTAGTGGGCAGGAGGCAGAGGGGGTCCTGCTGGCATGGGGTGTGGCCACATGGGAAAGGGGTACCTTTTGTGCCACTGAAGTACACTGTTCCCTGATGAGCGATGCTGCTCCCTTTGGGTGGCTCTTTCACAAATTTGCACAAGGTCTTGCAGGGACTGGGTTCAGAGAGGGGAAGAATTAGCAGAGAGCAGAGAAGAGGGACAGAGGAATCATTTAACTAAAAATCAAACCACCTTTTCAGTCCTGAAGAACTAAAACAATGTCTTCTTTGTTTACATCAATTCAAACTGCTATGGAAATTGGTCAACTACAGGACATGCCTTCCTCTCTGTCCCCTCCATTGAGCACAGGACAGAGGTCACACAGGCTTGCTGCTCAAGCCACTCAAGTCCTTGGGGAGACCTGCTCTGGGGCTGGGCACCAAGAACTAGGCTCAACTCAGCACCCTGAGCCAGCATGACAGCATGTGTCTGTTTTTATTTGGAAACATGCAACATGCTTAGCCAAGGCTGAACAACTTTTTTCTTTTTAAGAAAAAAATTAAATCTTTTTGGTCTCAAGATGCTTTTTTTTGCACGTGGACATCAAAATCCAGCAACTGCAGACTACTGGATGGAGGAAAACAACAACAAAAAAGGATGTGATCTGGCTTTTCACTGCTTTCAAGGTCATTAATCTGGTTTTGTTTAAAAATGCTTTGTGGGCTGCTGTTAAAAGTCCACCAATGACTAGGTAGAATGGTCCTACAGAGGCCTGAGGGTATGCACATCCAGTACACACACACACACATACACACATACTCATACATTTATCTCACACACACATACTCTCATGTACACCCTCATATTCATTTTCAAACCCTCTCAACACTTCACATGCACACTTTCAAACACTCACACATACACTCTCACATTCACATATGCACACACACAGTCTCTCTCACATACTTGCACAGATGCATTCACACACATGCACACACACAATATACTCTCACACAATGCATAAATGCACATACACACACCCAGCAGTGCCCTCCCACCTACACTGTAGCCTCTTGAAGTCAATGAATGAATTAAAAACAGTCAGTTGTGCAGATCTCGAAGAAGTGCCTGGTGAGGGGAAAGGAGATGCACTATGGTCAGATGTGCTAAGCTTGCTGTCCCAAGTGCGCCTTGAGCTCAGCTGCTGAACCAGCAGACCTCAAAGTTTCATGAACACTTCCACCAGCCTCAGCACTCTCAGTACAGAGCCAGGCAGCCCCTCTAATTAGGTAACATCCAATGCTAGAGAACAGTGGAGCAAAGAGCCTGTAGTAATTGCATTTTAATTTTTCCAAGGTGTAGAGGACTTTTTTATTTTTACTAGAAAACAAAGGGTCAGTTTATTTACAAGAAATGCTCTCTCACAAAGGCAGACTAAAGTCTAGCTGCTTTTAATGATTTATTCTAATCCTGAACAGCCCGGTCATAAAACCAAGCAAGGGAAAACACATAAAAGAAAATGGCCCCCATAGCTGAGCACAGGAGCTGTGTACGTTTATGAGCGACAGTGTGGAAATGCTTAGAATGCACAAAACAAAGTCTGGAGAGAATCCCAGGTTGTTGTAAAAATAAAGCTGTGGGGAATAAATAGTAATTAAACCATCCAGCTTCCAGGGAAACAAAGCTGCCCACTATTCCCTGCTGCCCGTGGTCTGCAGAGGAGGGTGCCTAAAGCCTGGGAGACACCCCACCACCTCAGACTGCAGAAGGCATCAACTTGGAAAAATTCACCAAATCCCATACCAGTTCTTGTCAAGAAAGGAGGAAAAACCATTTTTCTCTTAATAGATTTTTTTTAAATTAACAAGTGAAGTTTTAAACATATGTTCGGAGGCTGCGAAACCAGAGGGACCTTCTTACGGAAACGGGAATCCCTTTACAGAGAGAGCAAAGGAATTTTCACCCTTGAGAGTGGTACTTTCATTGGTTTTTACCCTCTCATGATTTAAAATTCTCCACAAAATAAGTCAGAGTAAAATTTATATATATATTATATAAATTTCACACGTTTGCAGAGCTCTTTGGAACAAATAAGAAGAGGAAGGCCACTGGCATTGATTGGGGCCCTTTGCCACTGCTTTGAAGGCTGGCCTTTTTATTTGGCAAGTAATACTGCCAGTTTGTTGCACTATGGTGTCTTGCATGTTGCTGTGATGCTAAAAGCTATGCCACCAGTATTTTAAATATCAGCAAAGTCACTCATGGTAGACAGGTTTCAGGGACACTTCCAGATAAGACAGACTAAGAACAAAGGCCTAATGATCTACTTCTGAGAATTAGCCAATGAAAACCCTATGGAATAGAATATTGTCCCATATAGTGCCCTCCAGACGGAAAGGTACACAAAATAATGGATGCAAGCATACCAACAATTGTGAAGATGGAGCAGGACCAGGCACTGCTTTGTTCAGTTGTGCGTGGGGTCACTGTGAGTTGGAGGCTAACTTAACAAAAACTAACAAGAACAACAATATCAGTCCCATTTTACAGACAAGAAAACGGAGGCTCAGTGAGCAATCACATGGCTAATTAGTGCCCAACAAAGATACAAATAGAGGGCATTCTGTGTCCAAACACCCACGTTCGTCCAAGCAAATTCTAGGCCTTCCTTACCAAAGTTTTTATTACAAACAACAGTGAATAATCTTAAAGGATTTAGATTTT